TATTATTATTATTATTCTTATTCTTATTCTTATTCTTAATAAACTACCTTATTGCAATGCCATTGAAATAAACTGAGAAGGCTTACGTTAACACAAAATAGCTGGTGGTCCATTTGTATGTTCTTCTTAAATGCTGTGGCTGCTTACAGTCCATGTAACCTTCCTTTACACCTGTAAAAAAAATTAACAACATAGCATACATGAATTTGAAATAAAGCATAAAGGAACAAACAAAAGACAAAATGATTTGGCTGAAACATTCCTGGATAGGCTAATAAATATATTCCAGGGGTGTAAAATTGTAAAGTGTGTCTCAAGTTTAATGCTCTTGGTTTCCATTTTATTTGTCTGATATGTTATTTGTCTACCCAAGTAAAAATGGCCAATACTTACATTGATAACAAAGATTGATGCGAGTTTGTGAATCACAAAACAATGGACAGTTTCTGATGAATTCAACAACTTGCAAAATCTGTGCATGTCATGCTTCTTCATATACACTAGTTATGACACTGATTATAACTTGAATTTGACTCTCAGAAAACTGTGGCAGTTTTGCCATGGTACAGGTTATCCTTAAACAAGAAAGTCGCAAGGTGTGATTTCTCATCTTCCTTTTTTTAAATTTTCCGTTCTCTTTAAATGGTTCCATTCTGTTATTTAAGTACTAAAGAGAATTTTGACTTTCCTCCCCTGGTTTTAACAAAGGGATAAAATGTTGTTTACTGCATGTTAGCATTTATTTTTGAAAGAAATCAAACAAATTTCAAAGAAATTATTGATTGGTATTTTGATATTGTTTAATTATGTATAATATACAATACATTTTGTATTTCAGTGAACACTGTTGATTGCTTGTTTCAGGAACCCTTTTCCCCATTCACAATTCCTAATTTCTGGTTTAAATAACACCTTGAACTAACACTGATAAGGGTGCACTAGGGGATGACACTGACTATTTTAAGGCAGTATTTGTCAATACTAAATGTACTTTTGTAGCTAAGAACTTCAATATTGGCATCTGGTCCTGATAGGCCACACCACTGCACAACTGTATAACACCTGATGTCCATGCTGCAAGACTGAATTAACAAACAACAACCACTTGAGATGGGACAAGTATGTGCAAATAGCACACAAAGGCTTCAAATACACAACAAGGGAGCTTATGCAGACTGAGGACAGAGTTAATGAATGTATGAAGTATAATAATTAGCAATGGCCATCTAACCCCAACCCTAACCCTAAAAACCCAACCCTAAAATGAACCCTCTATGATCTTATTTTTCAATTTCTTTACTGTTGTTGGGTTACATATTAGTTCAGAGTAAGGAATACAGTATTCCATATCATAAGATCTTATTACTGTTAGAAAGCATTCTGTTGTTTTGTTCCTGATCAAAACAAAGTCAAAGGTCGACATGGAAGTATGCAGAATGATCAGTTACACTGTGGCCAGCTCCAAGAAATCAAAGTGGCAATGAGCTATTCAACTTGGAAAATAGATCGTCAACACAGTGACAATTTGCTGAACGGATGCACTGAACTGAGTTTTTAATCTGTAGGTCATATATCATTAATTTTATATATTGAGCTCGAGATGTGGAAAATGAAGTTAAGGTTACTTCCCACCTTCAAGAGCACAAAAAATTGTTTTTTCTTTTATTTGACAAAATATTATTAAGTCAGTCATTTTATCATTTTTAAGTTTACGAAAGAAAAACTTTTTTAAGTTTACAAAAGAAAAATATTAAAAGTCTCAAAAGGTGGCCGAGTTATTTTGAAAAAAGTATTTTCAAATTAAGTTAATAAACCAGGAAGGTGTCATAATCGCTTAAATGGTCAAAACTGCCAGGGGAAATTTTCGTGGCAAACGCTCATCTTGGACCTTGAATTTCACTTTATTTGGTATTCTTTATATCAGGCATTTGTTCTTTTTCCTTTGGCTACTTTTTTCGTTTGAGTGTCTTTCTCTTTTCAATGCCACAGCGGGATAGAAAACATGGTGCGATGCGATGCTTTCCCCGGGAAATCCTGATCCATTGTCATTGACGCTAGGAGGTCCTGTTGTTCCATTGGTTTGCGGTTTCATAAGGCGAGATAATCTCCTGTCATGGCACGAGTTGTTTACGAACCTTTACGAGTTAAAATCTTGCATTTGATTTTGGGAGGAATACATCCACTTTGGACGAATTTATGCGGTATGTAGATTTGACAGATTTTTGTGAAATTTCGCCAGAACATTGCAGGGATAATGACAAACAAACGTGCGTCGGGAAATTTGGATATTTAACATAATTTTTCCATAGCGTCCATTTACGCAACACGTCTTTCATAGTTTTAGCTACTTCAACTTTAGATGCGGATATCTAGAAAACCAATCGGAACATCAAAAAAGCCTAACACACTTTTGTTGACTGATGCCATGTGAATAAGACTGTGCAGCAATTTTGCTCGTGTGGTGGCATCCGATAGCCGATAAATTCAATAGTCATTTCACACCTTACCGGCTCCTGACACTTCCTAAAAGAAAAACTTGCTTAAATTGAATTTTCATCGTAAACTACATTTATTAAGTTTTCTTCTGATGTTAAAAAAGTTATAGTTTGTTGGGGTTTTATTGAAACCGGTACGCATATGAATTTTTTCCCGAAGGACAGCCGTGAATGTGGGAAGTAACCTTAAAGCCCTCTAGCTTTGTCAACAAATAATGCAAAACACAATTAATGGCAAGGGAATAAGGAGATGTGACACTGTTGAGCACATTCATGAAGTCATCCTTGTCTGTGATGTTACCAAAAAGAAAGTACGACTTCTTATGTGATCATTCAAGGTACATGTCACTTACTGGGAGCTACTTTATTACTGGATACATGTACATGACCAAGTAATTGACAAAAATAGGTCTCCAAAGGGTATTTGTGTACTGGCAGGCAATTTGTTAAAGTATTAAGTCCCGTGCTTGCTACAGTGATGCTTATGTCCTGTTCTCTGTGCTCATGCTGCATGCTGAGATGTATGTAGTGGCATCTGATGTCGACTAAATTGTCTGTCATGCAATGGTCAATTGATAGGATTTTGTCACACATTGCCAAAAATGGATATGAGAATGATGAATTGAAAGATTTAATAAGATGTTCAAAATAAACAATTTTTATTTTAAAGCTACGTGAACATACCTTTGCAACACTTCATGTGGAAAGTGAAAAGGAAAATTGTAAAAGAATCCAAACGTGACCTGTCAAATATTGTGCAGAAATTTCCCTGGCAGAGAAACTGCATTTTCTTGTTCTGGGCTGGGGAGGGGCAGGGGCAGGGGATAGGAATTAGTCCCCTACATGGGCTTATAAAGATATGTGCAGCCCCAAAGGGTATGGTTTTTGAGCTGTTTTTGTCTGAAAAATACATAGATTTTGACCATATTGGTCTGAAATGGCGTGTGTTTTTCACTCTGGCTTGGCATTGGGTATTGTGTTGACAAGGAACCAATTATTTCCCCATTAACATTGGCAAATTGGCAATATAGCGTGAAAGAATCACAATTTGGTAATCATATGACAATTGGACTAATAAGCAATTTGACAATAAGCCTTAGCAATAACAGAGTTCGTGAAAGCAATTTCAACAAAACCTAGATAAACTAAATGAAATCTTTTCATAATAAAGAAGACTAACAATTTGCGACTTAGCAAATAACTACAACAATAAGAACTTATGTACTTTGGTTGACGACTCGCACAAAAAGGTAGCAGAGAGACAGCGAAATACACTTGAAATAGTGATAACTTGGATCCTCTGATTGTGGCACAGTAGCGGTGTAACTTCACTAACAATCTCTGACTAAAAGGTGTGCGTCGTCTTTTATTGCCTATGCTACGTGAAAAAACCAGGGCATTGTCAGAAACGTGGTGCCCACAATAAAACAACTTCCTAGCGGCAAAAATGCTAGAGCTGTTCCATACGTGTGAAAATCACAATTTTATGAAAGCTTTAATTTTGAAATCACGTACTTGGCTTGAATAATAACTGATAATAAATCAGTAGGAAGTTGCATAGGAAATTGATAAACGATCGGCGTTTCAAAACCAACAGACACGTGATCAATTTGTGTTGGATGCCGATGGGTGGCCAAAGGGAGAAAAACGTCCACGGACTTGCCTGTAAATATTGATCTCAACCAAAGTGAATATGGTCATCACAATTCCCTACGTCTACTAGCGACTCTGTTTCAGGTCTTCAGAAAAATGAATTAAAAAGTTTCATGATGGAACTGATTTCACTACCAGAATCAATAAAGATTTTCACAGTGGATTCACAGCCATCTTAAATTTTCCAAAAATTGGGGTGGTCCTGAATCTGCTTCCATCATTTTTTCACACTCGCCAAAGATTTAAATCTTGACATGCTGATTAGAATTTGATTAAAGAAATAAGGGTTACCAGAGTCGTTCTTGAGTTATAAACCAATCGATCTAAAATTAAGGGTGTTTTAAATGGGTTATTCTGTTACTATAGTAATCTTTTGTGTCTCGAAGATGATTATTACCTGCTCACCAATGATTGGAAATTTGTTTGATACAATTATTGTAGCATCAACTAAAAAACGAGAGCTACATGTAACAATGATCCCCAGCCTGTTTTATGAAGCTCAAATAGGCATAGAAGTGCTACACCTCTATGCTTTTACCACCGGTCACTTTGTGTTTCTTCATATAAAGCGGTGGCATGTTGCCCTGGTTACCAACAGGGTTTGGTCTGTTGTAGAAGTTTTTATTAAGCCCTACGCCTGATCTCGATCATTAATGATAAACTCTATGGCTCTACAATCACACATATCCAGGTAATGAACTCCACAGCTCTACTGCTCTACGGTCTTGTTTCAATTCAAAACTTTCCATGGTAAGTTAGTATGTTAGTATGACCGTTGTTTCAATTTAACACTTTCTTAGGTACATTAGTATGTTAGTACCACCCTTGTTTCTATTCAAACTTTTTGTTAGTACATTATGGTATGACCCTTGTTTGTATTCAAAAGTTTCCCCAGTAAGTTATGACCGTTAGTACGACCCTTGTTTCCATTCAAAACTTTCCTACATATATTAGTACATTAGTACATTAGTATGACCCTTGTTTCGATTCAAAACTTTCCTAAGTACATTAGTTCAACCCTTGTTTCTATGCAAATGTTTTGTTAGTATGTTAAAGTACGACCCTTGTTTATATTCAAAACTTTCCCAGGTAAGTTATGACCATCAGTACGACTGTAGTTTTCAAAACCTTCTATTGCATTTATAACTGAAAACAACGGAAATAACACTTAAGTTTTGTTTAGATTTTCGTACTTAGTACAGTTTGAAAAAATACTAAAAGAATGAAATAAGGATTCCTTTCCTAACTTCGTACTGAACCGTAGGGCTGTAGAGTTTATCTCAAAATGTGTGATTGTAGAGTTGTAGAGCCGTGGAGTTTATCATCACCTAGAAACTTGTTATCATAGAGCCATGCAGTTCATTATCTAGAGATGTGTGATCATAGAGCCATTGAGTTCATTATGAAGAAATGATCGTTAATGGTAACCATGGCAACATGCCACTGTTTTATATGTACACACAAGAGAAGAAGTACAAAGTAATTGGTGATTAAAGCCTAGAGGTGTAGTGCTTTACAAAAACGTCTACGGCAATATGAGGCTCATAAAAAGGGCGCCAGTTGAACATTGATCCATCGAAGAAGGAATTCTGAAAAATGCTGCAAACCATTATGAGCTACATAAGTACTGTGAAAAAACATATCATGCCAGAGTGGGATCCATCTCGCCACAGGGAAAAAATATTCTCAAAAAGGTGAAAGATTAAATTCAGGCAATAAATATATTCTTTAACAACGAAACGATGTAAAAAAATATTTGGTGGTTCTTTGTACTCTCAGTGAGTGACAATTTTATCACCTCTTGCGTGGCGCGTGACAAAAAGCACGTGATTGATAGTTTGATTTAAACCGCTAGGTTACAAAAATAAGGTTATTGAGAGAAATGTGTGCATGATGAGTAGTTTTGGCATATGGATTACATCACATCAGTATTG